GTTATTTTACTTTAAAGGCAATAAAAATAACCTATTATTCGTGTAATAGAGGCCAGCTAGTGAAGTGCTATGCAACAGACTCCCCTGCAAATAATCGTCAGTTTGATCACAGCTCAGACCAGTTTGGGTGCTGTAGGACCGGTGGGTAACATGTGGGAGCTCGTCCGGGATGGGAGAGAAGTTTGTAACAAAGACCAGCTAACGAAGTGCTATGCAAATGACTCCCATGCAAAGAATCACTGGTTCGATCCTAGCTCAGACCAGTTTGAGTGGAGTAGGACCTGTGAGTTACACGTGGGAGCTCGTCCGGGATGGAAGTGAAGTTTGTAAACTTCACTTCTCTGATCTCCAAAGGTGCTCTAGAGGATGCTGGAGGCCATGGTCTTTAGCCTCCTTGATAGAGCAACCGACTCCCATGCAAAGAATCGCCTGTTCGACGTTGGGTGCAACAGGACCGGTGGGTTACATTTTCACTAAGGGTAAAATTACTGAAACTACACACAACAGTCTGAGAAAAAAATGGTAATTTAAGATTATTTAGCACTTTTTTTTTTGCATGTAAACTTTTCCTGTTTTGCTTCATTATCTGCATATTAATGACAATGCAACATTTTTATTCTTACTAAAGTTATTGGAAACATCAAAGCAATGCTTTATATTACATTATAAATCATGCATGCTAGCAAATTGCATTCGATTACACCAAAAAGAGTCTTGACCTATATCTACATTAGCATTTAAAAAATAAAAAAACTACACATATTTCTTCTCTTTCATGGCTTATTAGCAGTAATACATTTATCAAATATTTATTTAATCATATTTAATTAAACACAGACTAAGGCAATGTGTCTCTCTTCATTATTTGGGTATTTAAGAATGAGTCAATTAACTGTGTATGTACTTTTTTTTGGGCCAGGAGAGGCCTCAAAGACCTTCCTGAATAATTGATTTAGTTTTTAATCTTCCGTCCTGTACTTTTTGTACCAATTCTTAAACCCTATATTGAACATTTGATCATATAACAAGCTATTTTGGAGTCTATCATTACATTTCACATTTCTTAGTCACCTTGGATTAAAAAAAAAGTGTGCTAAATGAATAAATACAAACTAGGGCTACACCATATTGGAAAAAATCTGACATATATTTTGTTTTGCTGCGATATATGTCGCAATATGAATATAATTACAGCAGATGATTTGAATAGCTCGATTTGGAAAGACCAATTTGGAATAGATCGATTTGGTTTGCGACCCCTGGGGTGATTATGTTATATTAAATATGGTGTCAGATGTAGCACAATGATTTTATGACACCAGGTTAAACTTCCGGTCACCTTTACGGCACTCAAGTATATTAAAAATGAATACAAGCCATGTATAAATATGGAGGATGAGCTCAAAAATTACACCATTGATGGAGCAACATGCAGGATTTGTATATTTATACCCTCCTCAGAGGTTAGTGGGGGTCGCGAGTCGCCGTTATGCTTGTTTTGGGAGGTCGTGGGCTGAAAAGATTGGATCTAGGCTATCAGATTAGACTTATTATCAATAAACCAGCAGTGTATACTTTTAAATAAAATTACGCAATATTTATTCCCTTAGAGAAGAAGAAAAAACTTGGCATAGCACTCTTCCGAGCATACATTTTCAGAGTATAAGCTCCAACTGGGACTGTAAAGTAAACAAACAAATCACATCCCAAAATCATGTTTGAATCACGAAAACACTGTAAAACAGCTCTCAGGCCTTGATATTTCAGGACAAAGAGATGCACGGTTAATCACAATCATGTACCAACCGGCGTGTCCTCGGCAGACCTCAGGAAAAACCCTGACTTGTAGAGTCAAACGCTTTCAAGCCTAGACTGGTAATGCGTGAAAGAGCTATTATCGGTCATTTCACAGCTGCAATGTTTGATTGTGCCCCACATAAACGGATGCGTAATTACACTGACAACATCCTTCATATACAGCATGCTGAACGGGGAGCCCACTGTATTTTGTATGTCACGCTGAAGGCGAAAGGGATATTTGTGAATGTATTCAGTCCATATATAGCCTTATATGCAGAAAAGAGATGTTTGTCAATGTCAGGTGGAGCGCCGCGCATGATGAAGCCGGCATACAAATAAACCCGCACCTTTATCAGGCCAATCGCTAGCCTATACGAAATTGGAAAATGTGCAGACATTAAGATGCATATACACAATCTCTCCCTCTCTCCTAATGCTGCCGTGAAACAACAAAGCTTTGCATTAGAGTTCATTGTACTATCACGCTCAATCTACAGGCTTATTCAGCCCACACCGCCCCCTTCCTTAATTCCTTGTCTTTTCATCAGCTGAGAAAAATAGATGTTCTTTAATCCTGCTGCTTAGGTAGTTTTATTAAAGGATTATGCTACCATGCCTAGCTACTACATTTGCTGTTACGCTCTGTAAATCCTTTGTCCAGTCTGCATGCAGCTTTACCTCAGTGTAGTCTGACCTACAGGATCATGGTACCTCTGTCAGTATATTCCTCCATTCAACCTTGATCGGATTTTAAATATGATCAGTATGGCTGGTGACTGCTTCGATTATATTAGTGTTATAATAACCGTGATTCATTGATTTCCACCGGCTTTGCAAACAATGAAGAGTGTCCAATCAGCTAATCAATGGATTGGTGCAAATCTAATTACTCATTTTGCCAGCTGTGAAACTTCTCATGTGTGTTCAGTCTGTTTGTGTGTCATCTGACAATATAAACAGCCGTACTACAATAAATATGGACAAAAATATGGACACTACAATATACAGCTAAGAATCAGTATTACAAAGCAAGCTTTTTTATTCATTTTATAAACTGTCCCAGAGGTAATAGTACTATAGTAAATACTACAACGGTTTGAACTATACTATAGTATAGTGCTTCAATTATTATCTTGTGTTGATTATATCAGGCCATTCGAATGTTTTCACTCGATTGAATGGGTGTTATCAGCTGATAGATATAGGCGTTCTGCATGTACTAGTAGGCTCAGAATGCTGTTATCATCCATCCACATGGTTAATCAGCTATAGATCACAGCTGCAGCCTGAAGTGAACGAGAATTATTCATATTATTTATTAAATGTCCCATTACTTGTATTTAATTAACATACAACCATACCCTAACCTTAAACCCAACCGTCACAGTAACAGATCTGGATCTGGAGTCTTCTCTATTAGTATAGCTGATTAACCATGAGGATGGATGATAACAGCCTTCTAAGTCTACCAGTAGGCAGAGAAGGCCCCTACTGTCCCATATCTATCAGCTGATAACCACTGTTAACACCCAATTAATCAAGTGATAACATACGAATCGGATGACTATATAGTTGCTATGATAACGCAACAACTATAATAATATAAACAAATTAAACAATACACTACTTTTCTACAAATATAAGGTGTATTATTCTACAATGCAAGTTTGTAGTAGAAGCTAAAATAAATAGAAGGTATTTATTATAGTTTATCAGTTAATTACGGTTAAAACTACAGTGAGATATAGCATTCATTAAGAAGTGTTATCCTATTATATATACGGAATAATACACTTTATTATAGGGTTGTACAAAAACACTATTATTTTATATAAATTACTATAGTATATTTTTAAATGGGGTGTAAGATGTTAGCATATTTCTCAAATGACAAACTCTGCTTGAATCTTTTGTAACAGTTTTCTATGAGTCTCTCAGTTGTCCTCTGTGCGATAAAACTGTATTTTAATACCATGTAGTCACTCGTGTGCAGAAGATTCCAGAAAGCCAAAAACTTTGCAGTAGCTAGAGGTTTTTAATTTTCAGAGGGCAGCTTCCTATTCAGGAGAAATCATGGACTCATAAACAACTGTCAAAAACATTCAAACATTAATTTGTGTAAGCTTGACTCTATTATTTCCTTATTTTACTTCTGAAATATGTGTAAATATTTGCAATTTAAGAGCCTAATCGGGACAGTACTAAATAAGCAACAACATAAATACAATTTAAATAATCTTTCTTATTTTAATAAAAGCTAAATATGATAAATATTCTCTTGCAAATGCAAGCTTGTTTCCACCACAAATTAAAAAGTTATTGTTATTTTACTTAATTCTGACTTTATTTCTCATAATTCTGAGTTTCTATCTTAAAATTCTGACCTTTTTATCTGAGATGCGAGTAACTCTTTTAAATATGCAATATAAATGTTTATTCTGTGGAAAAAACAAGCACTGATACTTACAGAGTCTAAAAAAATGTTTGTCATTAATGACGCACCATAGAAAGTGTATATGATGGTTAATTGAGTTGTCATTGCATTGCCTTTGAGGTCTTCAAGCGACCTGACTGGATGCTGTGATTGATTACGTCACAGTTTATTTCTCTGTTATTACAAACATGCCTGCTTATCCATAACCATTTTTCAAACACGCAACCTTTGTAATCGAATGCCACCATAAGTAACTGAATGCCACTCATGGACAAGAAGAATTTAGGAGCAAATCATTGTTTCCGCAATGATTGTTCTTAATGGTTGCACCTGAAATTACACGCAGTGCTGCCGATTAGCCAGGTCAGTGCATTTGGCAGATGTTCAGGCTACAACTCTTTTGCTCAGCGTGAAAAAGAGAGAGCAGAAACAGAGGTGGCCAAATAATCCACTTTGGCAACTGTCCAATGACTGCTTGCTCACTTTTTTATTATTACCACACTCAGGAATCCAACACCGACAATAAATGCATGTAAACACGGATGCAAGCCTAGTAAAAAGAAACCAATTTCCAAGAACCATTCTCCTGTCTCTCAATGGAAAAACAACAACAAAGCACATAGACTGTAGTAACTGCTAGCTCTCAGTAACCAAATGTAGCCTCTTTTTTTAACGTCTAGGTTGCGACGGATCTCCCTCGACCCCACCCTCCCTTGTTGTTAGCCGTGGCAGGCTGAAGGATGGAGCAGACTGGAGCAAATCTCACCTCAGGCAGCGGCATGCCGTTGATGATGAGGTCAGGCTGCTGAGGGCCCTGCCCTGTGAAGGTGTGGTGGTAGCCATGGTTGGGTGCAGCATTCCTGGAGTTCTGGTTCTCCACGTTGAGGAAGGTGCTCTCGGAGCGCCTGCAGCCCAGCGGCAGAGTCTGCTGGTGGTAGTCGAAGTAGTTGAGCGAAGAGGTGAGAGACGAGCAACTCACCACATTCATCTTGTCCGTCTCCTCCACGTCCCGCGGCACCAGCCGGATGTCATTCTTGCTCAGCTTCTTCTTCTTGCTGGACTTCTTCTGGTTGCCGTAGGAGTACTCCGCCACCCTGCGCAGGTACAAGAAACTGAACAGACTCAATAAAGCAATGCTCTGCCTTCCTCACTGCACGCACAGCCAGTGCCAGGTCTCCGCCTGGCTCGGGCTGAGGTGCCAGACCCATATTCATTGGCGGCACGAGAGAGAGCGTAGCCACATTCGAGCAACCTCCGGCCGCCAATGGAGCCGACATCCCTCATTTGTTTGCATTTTCATGCTCGGCGATTTGACTTGTTACAAACATACATACACAATGCAAACATGCCAAACCACAGAAGCACACACGGCGACAAATGACACTGAGCATCATTGTGAGTGTAAGCATTAATATGCAAAGTTAAGCTGGCGTTTGTCTACTTTTTCGCTTGTGTTACTAACACGCCTGCTGGCAGGTGGGTTGTGAATTTCAATTCTGTTAGCTACGCTCTGTGGCTAACGCTAACTTGATTTGAGGGCTTTGATTGTAATCACAGTAAATGAGAAACTTTGAAATCTTGCCCTGAAGGATGCTTAAGTTGGAAATCTAAACATAAACTAATCTGGAGAGTTGAGTATTTGTCTGGGCTTATCCCCCCTCTCTCTTTTTTTCACTGCATCTTATAACCCTGAAACAATTTTACAAGTATTTATTTTTATGTGCTCCGAAGGGCACACATTCGTTGCAAAGTACGGCTTTAGCTTAATGGTACTGTCGCTTCACCTGCACAACACAAAGCTCCTCTTTCTGTGCTTTTCATTTGGATTCAGCTTGTGTCTCCCTGCTCCTTACTTTTTTGTGGCTCGGAAAAAAATGATAACGGTGCAGGACCTTATCTTTTTAGGAGGCATCTAAAAGCATTTTTTCTTCTGCGCGACTGAAAGCACAGAAAAAGTTAGGCAGTCTGAGGCATGCTTAATAGCTGGTCGAAAAATATACTATTCTTGTCATTCAATGGAATAGTGAGCTTTTTGTCTTTCGTTAAAGAAAAAGTATCACAGAAATATGCAAAGAGATACAGTTGAAGTCAGAATGTTAGCCCCCCTTCGATTTTGTTTTTCTTTTTTAAATATTTGCCAAATGATGTTTAACAGACCAAAGAAATTTTCACAGTATGTCTGATAATATTTTTTCCTCTGGAGAAAGTCTTATTTGTTTTATTCCAGCTGGAATAAAATCAGTTTTAAATTTTTTAAACACCATTTTAAGGACAAAATTATTAGCCATTTTAAGCACATTTTTTTTCCTATCTACAGAACAAACCATCGATATACAATAACTTGCCAATTTACCCTAACCTGCCTAGTTAACCTAATTAACCTAGTTTATTATTTACTGTCATCATGGCAAAGATAAAATAAATCAGTTATTAGAAATGCGTTATTAAAACAATTATTTTTAGACGTGTTCAAAAAAATCTTCTCTCAATTAAACATAAATTGGGGAAAAATAAACTGGGGGGGGGGGGCTACCAGAACAGGTGCTATGGTATTTATGCATATTTATTATGAATATGATTAGGCTGTCTCTGTTGCTTTAATACATCATTTGTTGATGTTCTCTCAATTGAAACAGCGTCAGGTTCTTTTATCCTACTGTCCTAATAAACACACATCTCTATAGTCTGTTTGGTCATATGTGTTAGGCTCTCGACACAGTGAAGACAATCCAAAGAATCTCAGGCCCCGTTTACACTAGTGCGTATTAGTTTTAAAACGGCGTTTTAGAATGAAAACGATCCGCGTCCACACTCGCGTTTTACCCAGCGTTTCTGAACTGCTCTCCGTCCACACCAAAACGCTGAAAACGCAGCCAGAAAGGAGAGTCAGTGAGCACAGCAGAAGAAAACCGTATCAAGCACTCTCACTAACCCCCTACTGGGAGAGCTGAAAGCCTCCATCAGGTTTCTATCTGGAGAGGAAAATAAATGTTAACGACAGCAATCTAAACACAAGCCATCTCTAACCATCTTGCGATCATGGCAAGGCAGATATTCTGCGTGGCTAACCACAGAAATCACGATCTAGATTTCTTGAAAATGTTCACTTGCATGCATTTCTTTTAAGATGGATCATTTACTGTATGCTGTCGCAGTGTAAGACGGAAACATCAACAACAATTTGAAGTCCAAAAAAAAAATATGGTAATAGTTTCAGGTTAAATTTGCGAAAGCAATTTATATGGAAATGTTGAGTGGTAATGTAGCAGGGGGAAATCAACACAGTGGCCAATGTTACAGATTGATAAGTATTCATATTACAGTAGATTAACTAAATAATATTCTCCCCTACACACCATACGTCAAAGACTATCACCGTGCCGTACATTTGCATGATTTACCTTTTAAGAGGGTAATTATTTTTATGAAAGTGTGATCTTGCCACAGTAGCATTTGTTTGCTATAGCCTTGCTACTGTATGTTGATATAGTGAAGTCTATGATAATATGTTAGGGAACTAAACAACATGTTCAAATATGTGGGCAACAAATTTGCAAAAGGAACTCTCTCAATAAATTACATTTGTACTTTATGCAAAAACCAGTCTCGATGTCATGTGAATGAGAAAAGGCCTACTTTACTATTCTTTGCTTAAAATGATTCAGTCACTAAGAAAGGTACAAAAATGTATTGCTTATATTAGCTCACTCTATTGTTTAGCTTTATTTTCTGTTACTCTTTCGGAGATCCTTTAAAAAATCAATCAACTAAATTTCTTTAAACAATGCCTTACATGTATGTACATTAAAACACTTTTTCTATCACTTTGAATTGTGATATTTAATTATCTGAATGAAATAATTATTGTAAATTAAAACTCTTTTTAGGTGTGAAATACTTGCTATTATCTGCTATTCTGTTATTCAATCAAATTCGTCTTTTTTCTAACCATTTAGGACAGTCTAAATATAAAAACCATGAACAAGTCTAATGATTGCTAAAATTATCTCTTGTTATGCTTAATTCTGTCACCAGCAATGGCAGCAGCAGAGCAAGGCCTGAAGCACATGCACAGTTGACGACACAGCGCGTGCATAGCCAAGGTACACATCGAACATGCTCTCTCTTTATCACTTAATCACTGTATGAGATCACTGATTCATTTCCAGTTCAAATACACTCATATGCATAAGTCAACTAGAGCAGGGTGCGAATTATAGGAGGGTTGGCCCATTACTGTTAGTAGGGCCTGAACTTGGAAGTAGCAATGAAAAAAATTAAAAGACCAATTAGAGACTCAATGTACATCTGGGTGTACAAAAGTCAGGCCTGTGTCTAAGTAAAACATCATTTTTTTTTGTTGTTGTTGTGCAAATTACTTAATGGCATTTCTTCCTAGTTTAAATAGATCAGTTTAGAGGATATTGTGATAATTAGTTAAAATAACAAAACATTTAAAAAATGCTATTGTTTCCACGTTTTCCATCTTTTTATACATTTTTATTAACATTATACAGTTAAAGTCAGAATATTAGCCCCCTTTGAATTGTTATTTCTTTTTTTTTAAATATTTCCCAAATGATATTTAACAGAGCAAGGACATTTTCACAGTATGTCTGATAATATTTTTTCTTCTGGAGAAAATCTTATTTGTTTTATTTCAGCTAGAATAAAAGCAGTTATTAATAAAAAATAAATTAAAAAAAAACATTTTAATGTAAAAATTAGTAGCCCCTTCAAGCATTTTTTTCCAATCTACAGAAGAAACCATTGATATACAATAACTTGCCTAATTACCCTAACCTGCCTAGTTAACCTAATTAACCTAGTTAAGCCTTTAATGGTCACTTTAAGCGCTATATCTTAAGTCTAAATTACATAATGCTCTCTTTCTCTCTCTCTCTCTCTCTCTCTCTGTGTGTGTGTTTGTTTGTGTGTGTGTGTGTGTATATATATATATATATATATATATATATATATATATATATATATATATATATATATATATATATATATATATATATATATATATATATATATATATATATATATATATATATATATATATATATATATATATATATATGTGTGTGTGTGTGTGTGTGTGTGTGTGTGTGTGTGTGTGTGTGTGTGTGTGTGTGTGTGTGTGCATGTTTGTGAAGAAATATCAGAAATATTAGCCCACCTGTCTATTTTTTCCCAAATTTCTGTATAATGGAGAGAAGATTTTTTTCAACACATTTTTAAACATAATAGTTTTAATAACTCATTTCTAATAACTGATTTATTTTATCTTTGTCATGATGACAGTAAATAATATTTTACTAGATATTTTTAAGACACTTCTATACAGCTTAAAGTGATATTTAAAGTCTTAAAGTAGGTTAACTAGGCAGATTAGGGTAATTAGGCAAGTTATTGTATAACAATAGTTTGTTCTGTAGACTATCGAAAAAAATAAAGCTTAAAGGGGCTAATATTTTTTACCTTAAAAGTTTTTTTTTTTTTATTAATTAAAACAGTTTTTATTCTAGCTGAAATAAAACAAATAAAACTTTCTCCAGAAGAAAAAAAAATATCAGACATGCTGTGAAAATGTCCTTGCTCTGTTAAACATCATTTTTGAAATATTTAAAAGAGAAAAAAAATCATAGTGGAGCTAATAAATCTGACTTCAACTGCATATATATTTCTTTCAAATTGGGAAGAAACGTTAGGCTTTTACATAGTCTCGCTATCATAGTTGTTCTTTGGCGCCCCTAGCACTGTTTTGGAATAAATAGGCCTTCTGTTTTTGTTGCTCATTGGCCTACCTGTGATATATAAATAATCTATAATAAAGTTACGAATATTAAATGTTACGAAACAAACCGTATGCTTATTTATGTTAGTCAATATTCAATATTGGTCATAACGGAAAGACCTCGAGTAACGTACTGTTGCCATGGTTACACCTCAGGTGAAGCAGTTGCTGTTCGTGTTTATTCTGGATTTTATAGTTGGGCCTTTTATTGATTTGATTTCTTTTTATGATTACCTTCAAATATTCGACCCCCCTGAAGGTCATTGAGTAATTCGCACGCTGAACTAGGCTAAAAAGAGGTATATAAATTGTCTGGGTACCTGCAGTTGTAGGTTCTGATTTCCTTGTTATCCCTTTTGCACTTGACAGCCACAAATATCATCGTGACAAACAGGATGACTGCAATAGAGCCCAAGGCAATGATGAAGATGAGGGACAGGTTGACTGGTCCGATTTGTTCCTGTGCATTGAGATCAGGTGAGAGATAAATGACAATATATGCAGAGGCAGACAGAGAAGTTTGGCCGTGGTCGTGCGCCACCACGGTGATTTGATAGGATGGCTTCGCGTTCTCCCCAAACGTCTTTGTGGTTCGCACCTCGCCGTTTATCTGGTCTATTTCAAAGTATGCCATGTCTCCTTCTGATATTGAATATGTTAACCTCCCATTTTCACCCTCATCGTAATCATCAGCTTTTATTTGTGTAACCAAATAACCAACTCCAGCGTTTTTAGGGATGGACACCTCCGCGGTGCCGTTCACCAGGGGCGGGGTGGTCATCACAGGTGTGTTGTCGTTTACATCCAGCACGACGATGCGCACGGTGGCGTTGCTGGTCAAAGGTGGATCTCCCCCATCCTTCGCAGACACTTTAAACTCAAATGTCCGCGTATCTTCGTGATTAAAAGCCCTGACGCCGTATATTTCGCCGTTTGAGTTGACGGTCACGTAAGATTCCACAGACATGCCCCGCACCTCCGATTTGATGATTTCGTACGACACGGTGCCGTTCATGCCCAGATCAGGGTCTCTGGCGGACACCGCCAGAAGAAACGCACCTGGGACGTTATTTTCGAGCACCATGGCTTGATAATGGGGCTTGGTGAAGTACGGGGGATTGTCGTTTTCATCTGTTACTTTCACCGCAAACGATTTCGAGCTTCTGAGCGGGGGATACCCGCTGTCCTCGGCCAGAATGGTCAAATTGTACATGTCTCTCTGCTCTCTATCCAGACGGCCGTCAACAAGTAAGGTGGAGAAGCTCTCGAACTCATTGAGTCTAAAAGGCACATTGCCCTGCAGTCTGCACTGCACTTTCCCATTCGCTCCGGAATCGTTGTCTGAGACTCGCACCAGTGCTATCACGTATCCGAGAGGAGCGTTTTCGCTCACCTCTACCATCTCGCTGTTCTCCGACAACAGTTTGATTTCGGGCGCGTTGTCGTTTATGTCGATTACGTTAACAATCACTTTGCAGTGGGCAGGGATTGAATTTGGACCCAGATCTTTGGCTTGTACGTCAATTTCGTGAATGTGCAGTTCCTCGTGGTCCAAAACGCCGTTCACTGTGATTACACCTGTTTTGGGGTCGATTTTAAACATCTGTTTGGTCAGGTTGGAGACAAAGTTTATGAATGAGTAGACCACCTCGCCATTGGTTCCTTCGTCTGGGTCAGTGGCGTTCAGGTCTATGACTAACGTGTTAATGGGAGAATTCTCCAGCACGTTTACAGTGTACACTGGCTCATCGAAAACGGGGTTGTTGTCGTTGGAGTCGATGACTTTGATGTTAAGTTGCACAGTCCCAGACTTCGGAGGGTCTCCTCCGTCCTCCGCCGTGAGTTCAAACGTGTACCGAGACTGCGTTTCTCTGTCTAAAGTCTTTTCCACGACAAGTTCTGCGATTTTGGACCCGTCTCCCCTCGTCTTAATCTCAAGACCGAAAATATCATTCGGGGTGATGGTGTACGTTTGAATGCCGTTGCTCCCCGAGTCCGGATCGCTTGCCCCCTCTAGGGGAAATCTGGTACCGGGAGCGGCATTTTCCGAGATTTCTATGTCAATGTGGTTGGTGGGGAAGCGGGGCGCGTTGTCGTTTACGTCGATAATCTCAATTTTGATCACGCAGATCTCCATCGAGTTCGACATCACCTCTAACGAAATAAAACACTTAGGTGTCTGTCGGCAAACAGCGTCCCGATCAATTTTTTGCTTGGTGATGAGCAGTCCGGCAGGGCTCAGATTAACCCATCGTGGCTCGGAATTGGAGATAACCCGCAAATAAGGCTGTCGGTTTCCAAGTGCAAAACCCGCAACTTTTGCGTCCGCCGTTACGTTGGCTATCTTTGTGCCTGCACGCAGCTCTTCCTCCACGGTGTATTTCAAATTGAACACGGCATCGACTCCAGTCCAGCACAAGAGAAAGCACACAAACATTTGTACGAAATCCATGTCCTTGGAATGCATTGTACCTGTTGATGTCTGTCTTCACGCGCTCATTTGCATGATCGTTTATTAACATTTAAACCTATGCACATTCGATACGACGTAAAAAAAGCTCCAAAAAGTCAAACGAACAAAATCACAGTCTGGCAGATATCCTTTAAAATGATCGAAAATGTTTATATCTGCGGTGAAATTCATTTGACTTACTGATTACGCAGTGGATAACTTCCATTTACTTTATCGACATCTTATCAGGCCACCCATGTCTTGCACTATTTGTGAAGAAAATGTGAAGAAAACTGGAGAATGTTTCTTCATCTAACGAATGAGACAACATTGTGAATGGAAAACATGGCTTCAACGTGAACATTTGGGTAATTCACGGAAACCGAGATGTATACCGACCATTTTGAGCCAGTGAAAGAAAATATTCAGTACTAATGTGGGCTAAATGTCCACTTGAAGGTCCTCAACTTGTGAATGAATAAAAGAAGGGATCCAGTTTTAAAATATTTGCTCTTGGTATCATGATTCGTGACGAAAACTTAAATTAAAATTAAATTAAAACATCGTTCATGCCAAATCAATCCATATAAAGATGTGAAGTTAGAATGTTTCCTCCTTGATCCGCATTTCTGTCCATGCGCTCATATCCAACTGACTGAAACCAGAGATTCCAATTGAAGAAAGAAAAAAACAAATAGTCCAATTTTTGTGACTGGAGCAACGAAGATAACCCAGTATTAACCAAATATCAGTCCGCAATTCATTGATATTCCCAGTCGAGCAAAAGGTGTGCGCCTTGTCCACTGAAGATTTCGTAAATGTCTTGTATGAAGGTGTTTCAGCTGGCCTTAGTCCAGAATGAATGAAACTAAATCCGTATAAAACACTGAAAAAAGATCAGTGAAGACAAATAAAGCATTGGTAAGTGCAGCTGAGCTCGACTCGCCGTAAAAAAGCGTCCGGTCTGAAATATCCAGCCTCTGGATGAAGCGAAATAGTTCTTGATATAGTTGTTAAATGTGGCTCACTGAGGTAAACGCACGGCGCGCATCTTCAGCGCATACTGTCGAATGCACAGCTCAGTGTCTCGCGCTCAGTCTCAGGACCCGCAATCCCCACAGCCAATCAGAGGTTACACTGGAGAGCTGGATTTGCTGGTGGGTGGGGCAAAACTACAGCTATGAACTCGGCCAACTAGCTCCAGTTCATACAACGCACGGTGTATGTTTTCTGTTCTGCTTACGCCTGGACATAACGTATGTCATTTTGCGATTGAGGAATTTCGAAAGGGAATTAATTTCCTTAAGATATTTTTCGGGGCAATTTTACGCTAGTCAGATAGTGTATTTTTTTAACAGAGCATTACACTCATATACTTAAACACATTGTAATAAAAATCACAGCTTTACTAGGCTTTTATTTAACATTTCCACTGATATAGTGACTTAATTAGCCTATAGTTGTTATGGTTTTCTTTATAAACTTTTTAGATTTATGTTTCGGATATAAATTAGTTTTATAATTAGCCCATGTTGGCTTAAAGAAACGGTAGCTTAATATTAATTCTAATCAAAAACTTGTTTATTAAAACTTGTATATTAGTATTTTGGCATGTAAGAGTCAGCGACTCTTGGTAGTTTTTTTAGACTAATCAATATATTCATAACAAATTAACTTGACATTTCCCTAATTAAAAGTCTCATCTCATTTGCATAAAGCTTGTCAGACTTTTATTTATTTTTTATATCAGTCGTAATACTGAAAAATCTGTTTAATTTATTTATATATTTATTTATCAAATCCGTCGCAGATTTAATAAGATGTATTATGGGTGCTGCACGTTTTGAGCTTGGAGCACTCACACAGTGATTGAATCTGTTCACTTATTAGCAGCATTTGCCGTGTTAAGAAATATTAAATGCCACAGAATATGAATGGGAGCATGAACACCTTTTCTAGTGGGGCTAGAAAATGATAACGTTGGAATCTGCACTAATTGCGAATCTTTCAGGCAGCTGCCTTTCGTTCCCATCCCTGATGACGACCCCGACATATCAATGACTCCCCCCACCATCTTTCTCTCTCTCTCTCTCTCTCTCTCTCTCTCTCTCTCTCTGCGCATGTTTGTGTGTCTGTAAGAGAGAGTAAAATGATTTAAAATAATTTAAGTATGAGAGAGGCAATATAAAAAATGTTAGGCATTTTTTTACTACAGTTATTATTAATATAACTACTAGCAATTATGGTTGTAATCGTTGTTATGTATGAACGTTCATTAATCTGTATACCTGTATACATATAGATTATTTAAATTCCTCACTATATATATATTTGCCTCAACCACGCAGAGAGTCAAGAGTCATGTGCACACATGACAGCATGTTGAGGGCAAACCGTGTTTAAAGTCACAAGGCTGACACCTAGCGGCCGCCACCACTTTCACCTAATATTAAAACCCTGTTTTTGCCCCGATGTTTGTTTCTTTGTTTTTCAACTAAGACATTGGCTACTGGAAAAGGAAAAATATACAAAATGGAAAGCTTATATTTTGTACAGTTATTTCCACGTGAGTATTTTTATCCAATAAATAAAGATATTTAAGAAAAAATCCACATATTACCCACTGTAAACCCACAAAGTTAAGGTAACCCAAACCATTTTTGGAAACCGATTGCAACAAACTATTTAAGTTCAAAAACTAATCCAAATGAGTACTGTGAACTTAATCCGTTTGAGTAAATGAAGCAATGACCACAGTAAAACCCCAAAAATGAAGAGAACTCAAACCAACTAAGTACTGTAAAACCCCATAAGTTAAGGCAACTCAAACTGTTTGAGGAAACCAATTGCTACAAACAATTTGAGTTAAAAAAAAACTAATCTATTTGAGTACTGTGAACGTGCTCCATTTAAGTTGAATTTAGTTATATATTAAATTAACTCATTACCTTCAACACTGAGTTCAAAAGTTTTTTTCAAATGAGTAGAATTAAATTTCAGTCAATTTTGAGTTAACTACACTCAATTCATTTGATAAAGTTGACTGTTGGGTTTACAATGTATCTCGTTTGATTAGTTATATACAGTGGTTGGATAGTTTGTTGTGTATTACAGGTGTGTGGATTGAACATATTTTACTTAAGTTTTGTCTTACGTTTTACCTGAATACGTCATGTAAAGTTGACAAACTACCGAGCTTTTTCTGCTTTTCGTTTGACATACAGTCATGCAAGTTTTCCAGCAGTCATATTCATGAGCAAGCACAGATGTCATCATCGTCAAATATTCTAGTTCATGTTTGTTTCCAGCTTGCAATGCTTTAGGGACAGCTGTCAACCTATTGCTCTGTTGACTGTTGAAACTTGCCTACCTTCCAAGGCAAAGGAAAGATGCTAAAGGTGTTTTCACAGCTCTCTTGGTGTTGAAAGATTAAACTACGGGGATTATCGTTGATGTTCTTTTAGCCATTTTATATTTAGCAGTAGTGGAGAGCGGGGAGGGAAGCAGGGGCGTAGCAACCAGGGGGATGGGAGGGATACGTCCTTCCCACTTTTAGAGACAGAGCATTTAGAAACAGGTGGTTAATAATAAAATGAACTTAAAATTTTGGATCTCATTCAGCTGCCCCCCACTTTTTAAATGCCCGCTTTGCCCCTAGAGGGAAGTAACATTTTTCATAGAATTCTAATTTTAAAAGATAATGTTTTTAGCAGAAATATATTTTTCCGTGGTAACTAGCTCACAACAGTGGTGTATCAAAATCTGGTCTTATTTTGCATCAATGTTGAACAACTTTAATATAACTTCACTTTAAACAAAAGTTGCACATTGTTACTTTTAACCTGTAGGCAGTAACAAAAGTAACCAACCCAGGCTCATTCTGAAAATGTAGTCTTGTGGACATTTCTTGAGACTGTGAAATACGCCCCTGGAGGTATGTGTTTTTGCAGTTTTTGTTTTCGCGAATCCACGAGAGGTCGCTGTGTGCGCTTTTTCGTATCTCAAATGTGTCTCGCGAGTGCGAGTTTGTGCCTGCACTGTTCTCGCGTATACCCAGCAGAGGCCCTTGTCAACCGAAGGTCTGTCTGACTGAATGATTGACTGTGCGACCAGCCAATCGACTGACCCACCCTCCTCCTTCCCTAAACCCAACCAATTTTACCGATTGACCTGCCCACCCACTTACTTCCCTAAACCCAACCAACGATTTACAAAAGCCGTCCATGAAAAAAAAAAGCCCTCGTCTGATTTTTACCCCACTTGCGGATTTTACCACATACTCACCCTGTTAATGACTTGTTCATTTAACTTTTTTGGATTCTGTTTTTGTATTACTTAATTCCTGGAACCGCTCTTTCCCAGACTCGAAACTGGTGGTCGTCCTCATGGTCAACTCTTCTCTGCGTCTCAAGTCCGCCAACATACACGACAAGCTAACTGGACAATCTGGTTGCAGCGGGAAAGCCCTCTACACGGAGGTAAGCGGTCAGCCGGTAAGCGCGAAAAGGAATAGTGACATACTGCCCCATAGTGTTTGCTTAAAAAATGAAATGCAGCCATATGTACCTCCGGCTACAAAATTCGCAGTCTCCAGAAACGGCCACGGGACTACGCTTTCAGAATGAGCCTGTGTTGAAAGTAGCACAAGTAAAAAGTAACAAAACAATATTAGATTTACTAGCTTAATTTTGTTTATTTTAAATATATATGACTGTGACCATGTTAATGTTCACTGCAAACATGTTTTGTCCTTTATTTTTGCAAAAAAATAAAAATTAAATAACATTTTCATTTCAGCTCCATCAAATGCTTCAAAAGCAGTCCAACAATGCAATATACTAACATTTTTCTACATTTTTTTTTATTTGTATTATTATTATTATTATTGGCAATATACATTTTTCTTATAAAACATATTAGTCAAAACACTGAAAACTCTAACATGGAAGTGAAAAATAAGATTTGTCTATTAGCAGTGGGACAAAAATAACAGTGTTACTTTTGTCCCCACAGGAACTCTTGCCATTTAAACCTGATTTACTTTTAAACTGAAAAACTCAGACAAATCAAACTTAAGGATGTATTACTTACTGCTCTAAATAACTTGTAGGTTGAGCATTGCTGTGACACATGAAAAGAGAAACATAATTTGTAATAAGAACAAAGGATCACTGCAATCATTTAGAGCTAAGACTAGCTCTAAATGAGCTTATATTTGGCAGCTCCATCAAGGGTTGCATGCTGAATGTGCTGTTATATCCTGGAAATCAAATGTTGTCAGGGCTTCGGGAATGATCGATTTGTTACTTTCCTCCCTTGTTACTTTCGTCCCTGCTTTCCCCCTAGTACATGAAGGAATGTCTCCCTGTGTGGAATGGACTTCTGGCTTGAAAAGGTGTTTATTATCTTATTTTGCTCACGCTGATGTTTTGATATTCACCTTCACTTTGACATCAAGGTTAAATGATTTAGCTATTTTGTCAATGTCAGCACACACCATGTGTGATGAAACAGACAGAATTTTTCTGCCAAGCTGCATCTAAATCTAGATATTGCTTGATTATTTATGTGCAACATTCCTCTTGCACTCAAAATCCTTTTAATTTCCTACACAAAAAATATATATATATTGATTAATTAACAGTTCTTATATTTTCAGTGGTGTAAATTAACAAATTACAAAAACTCAGATTACTGTAATTGAGTAGTTTTTCTCAGGAAGTGTACTTTACTAAGTAGTTTTAAAAATGTTTACTTTTACTTAACCTTGAGTGCATTTTTAGTGCTGTATCGGTACTTTTACTCCACTACTTTTCATCAACCTGCAGTTACTACATTATTTCTTTCTTGCCTATGGTGACTGGCTTAAGTGGAAAACTCAGTCCTGCGATTCTTGTCCAATCAAATTGCAAACAGAATGTAAATTGCATCATATTAAACAACTTCAAGACATGGGCGCTTTTGGAAGTATCCAAAATGTCTAAGAAGATGCCCAAAATCGTTACATGCAAAATAAAGGATGTCAACTGTATGATGACTGACATCACTAAACAGCCTTAAACAATCACTAAATGGAACGAATAAAGAATAGAAG